CCGGGCAACGCCGGCTCCTTGTCGGCGGCTGCCCTTTCTCCGATGCGGCGTTTGGTCGGCACTTCGTGCCTGATGACGGCCCTGCTGCTTTAGCTTGTTCCTGCTTTGTTTTGCTTGAGGCACTTTTTACCTTCTGCCAGTAAATCCACTATCTCTGCTGAGAATCTTGGCTCGCAAACGCGCCGCCACCTATCAGCGCCTCACTATGCAGCTGACGCTGGAGGCGCTCTTGTCTGGTGCGAGGCGCATGACGCCCTTGCGGGCGCAAGCACTTCTCGAGCCAGAGGACAGCTCCTCCTCGGACTTTGTCGAGTCGCCCGAGGGGGAGTCTTCGCCGGAGGTCTCCCACTCCGACCTCCGACTCCGATGGGGGAAACACGTCGAGTGGCGCCGACGACCGGCGCGGAGCTGGCGAGGCGTCTCCGTCCCTCACTGTGACGTCGGGTGCCTCCGGAGAGCTCGACACCACTGGGGTGCTTGCTGCTATTCCGAGCTCGCATGCATCCTACCCGGCATCGGTCGGGTCACGCCGGTCCTTGGGCATGCGGCTGCGGCGTCGCCGCCGTCACGGGCGGCTACCGCTGACTCGGCTACCGCTGACTCGGAGGCTAGCGAGGGGGACTACCTCGAGCGGTACCGTGTTCCTGTGTCCAGCCTCCCTCCGTCCGCTGCCCCAGGCGGACCCCCGGGCAACGCCGGCTCCTTGTCGGCGGCTGCCCTTTCTCCGTCCGCGGCCGCCCGCTTTGTGGCGGCAGCGGACGTCTCGACTGACAGTGGTCAGTCGGCTGCCTCCGGGTATCGCGTCTAAGGGATTTTATGCTCCTGCTGCTTGTTGCTTGATTGCCTGACCCTTCGGCTGCTTGTCTGCGCGGCTTCGCGCTTGGGCTGGCGGTGCCGCGTCTGGGTGCCAGCAGTGCTGGTTCTTTTCGGGCTTGTGCTTGTTCCTGCTTTGTTCTGCTTGAGGCACTTTTTACCTTCTGCCAGTAAATCTTCTCTTCCCTCACTAGTGCGAGTTTTACTCGCAGAAGGTAAAAAGTGCCTCCACAGCGAGAGTAAAACTTCACTTCTTGTGGTGCTGCTGAGGTCTTGGCTTGCAAACGCGCCGCTACCTATCCGACTGACCACTGTCAGTCGAGACGGTATATAGGATTTACTGGCAGAAGATAAAAAGTGCCTCAAGCAAAACAAAGCAGGAACAAGCTGAACCGGCAGGTACACAGTCCACAGCGAGAAGCTGCACAATCACACACAAAACACAAGCCCGAAAAGAACCAGCACTGCTGGCACCCAGACGCGGCAGCGCCAGCCCAAGCGCGAAGCCGCGCAGACAAGCAGCCTAAGGGTCAAGCAATCAAGCAACAAGCAGCAGGAGCATGCAGGAGGAATAAAATCCCTTACACGCGATACCCGGAGGCAGCCGACTGACCACTGTCAGTCGAGACGTCCGCTGCCGCCACAAAGCGGGCGGCCGCGGACGGAGAAAGGGCAGCCGCCGACAAGGAGCCGGCGTTGCCCGGGGGTCCGCCTGGGGCAGCGGACGGAGGGAGGCTTCGAGACGTCCGCTGCCGCCACAAAGCGGGCGGCCGCGGACGGTACCGCTCGAGGTGACGCATCCAGTCCTCCTCGCTAGCCTCCGAGTCAGCGGTAGCCGAGACCAACACCGCCCGTGACGGCGGCGACGCCGCAGCAATGCCCAAGGACCGGGGCTGTGCGGCATCGGAGCCGGGCAGGCGAGCTCGGACCAGCAGCAAGCACCCCAGTGGTGTCGAGCTCCGGGGTTACCTCTGCGGCCGGGCTTATACGGACTTTGTCGAGTCGCCCGAGGAGTCTTCGCCGGAGGTCTCCGACTCCGATGGTGGAAGCATCAAGAGTGGCACTGGAGAAGCCTCTCCGTCAATCGCTTTGACTTCTCATGCCTCCGGAGAGCTCGACACAACTGGGGTGCTTGCTGCTGGTCCGAGCTCGCCTGCTTGTTTCCCCCCGACGGGATCCTTGGGCGCGGCACTGCTTTTGACGCTGCGGCGTCGTCGCCGTCAATAGAGATAATGGATTTACTGGCAGAAGGTAAAAAGTGCCTCAAGCAAAACAAAGTCAATGTCGGTCTCGGTCTCGGGCGCTGTACGGAAGAATGTTTACTCGCATGCAGGTTTAGCTTGTTCCTGCTTTGTTCTGCTTGAGGCACTTTTTACCTTCTGCGAGTAAAACTCTGGGCTGCCGCTGCGCCTGCTGAGGACAGTGCAGAGGACTGTGGAGCGGTACCGTCAGCATGCGCCCAGCCTCCATGTGTCCGCTGCCCCAGGCGGACCCCCGGGCAGCCCTTTCTCCGAGAGAAGGAGAGAGAGAGGAGGGAGGGAGAGAAGAAGAGAAGGAGAGAGAGAGGAGGGAGGAGAGAAGAAGA